CTGAAAGAACAGAAAGTCAAACCATTAATAACATGAAGACCATTCAAGATCATGCTTCATACAATCTTTGCATGTATGAGGACATTTCTCAAAAGCACACACACAATGCTAACTGAAATCACTGCTTATTCTAAAACAGTGATAAAAAATCGAAAGGGTAGAAGGACCAATATGTATTAGCGATAAAATGTCAAACCGGCCAAAAAAAAAAAAAGTTAGGAAAATGAAGCCACAATTTTACTTAATGCTTTAAATTGGGCTTCGAAGAAAGTAATGTTTTATAAGAGGAAAAACGCAGGTAGTTCTTGATACCCACACAACGCAATATCACTACCCAAATGTGGATAATATGATGCATATCATAGCAATGTGTGTGTCTATGAGCGTGAGACGGTCTAATCAGTGGAGTGCAGTAGAAACACGATATATTGCAAGACTTACTCAAAGTCATGAAAAATGAACGAACTTCTTAGTCATATTAACAAGATCTATTAACGTAAACCCAAAGCTAATAAAACATGCAAACATAGATGCGCGCGCACACACACAAACACACGTTTCTGTGCGTGTGGTACATACATACTAGTTCGTTCATCTGGCAAACATACACATCCGATTTGTTACTAGTTTTCGCCATATTTCATAATGCAGCTCAACCAAAACAGTCACTATAGCACGAGTCATAATGATAACAGTCCACCGACAGCATCCGCAGAGTACCTCAAGGAACACCAGATTTCGAGGCCCAGATGAACGGCAGACGGCGGCGGTGGCCACGACGACCGAGCGAGAAACGAGGCGAGAAAATGTCTTCCCGCCCTCGAGGAATATTACCCTGGGCTGAAGATCTTCACAGGAGGCGGAGCAATCTTCACCACTTGGCAAATCCAACGAGTCGGGTTAATTTGATAGGGCTACCGGGACATTGCAATGGAGGTGAGTCATGCGCGAAATGGAGGTGAGTCAAGCGTGGAAACAGTCGAAGGAGGCGAAGCGCAGAGAGATCAAGGGAAGGATCTATCGAAGGGATAAAAAAAAGAAAACAAAAATTCTTTGCGTTTCCGGCAAGAGGTTGAGACATGCCAGCCGGACGAACGGGAATTTAAAACACTAAGGATATTTGCAGTTTAGGGTACAGTGCATACCTCTGAAACCCTTATCGCTTTTTCCTGAAGTCTGTGTCATGTGCTAAGGCTTACTGCTGACCGAGAAGACTTAAACGGGATTTAAGAGAGTTTAACAGAAACTGAAACCCGACGGCACAATGCAGCAGTCTAAAATGAATAAAATAACAACAACAAAACTAGCAAGGAACGGGGAAATAGTATCCGAATTTGTGATTAGCAATAACTAACGGCTGGTACTGAAGGTATTTTATACGTTAATGAAAAGGATCATTGTTACTTGAATTAAACACGGGGAAAACATACTTAACATGCCATAACTACTAAAAACAGTGGCAACTGCTAACAAAAAGTGGATGCGAAACTCAACGTATGGAGTTCAATCTTCCGTTTCTCGAGGCAATATTCAGAATATGCTCGAACATATACGGTGACTGCACCTCATTTTCTTACAAGATAAGTTATGGGTTTTACAAGTAATGTATCTTACTTTTATACACCTCATGTAACTCCTCCCATATTCAGCAAATTGACCTGATAGCCCACCAAGGTCACATTAAGAGCCTCTGGATGTATTTGCCAGAAGTTTCAAAGTTGTCACAAATGGTTGTTTCGTAAATCATGATTCCGATTTATTAAATATTAATATCCACGAAATTTACCAACACATAAGAGTAGTATTTGATATCAAAAGTAATAATCATACATGTAAACATAGAAATATGGTTTGTCATCACAAAACCCTTTTCTAATCAGTATGGACAATGACACAGTTCATGTACCTTTCCTAAGTTTGAGTTAGACAGAACTGCCAAAGTTAGGAATGAGGGAACCAAGTCAAGAGGGAAGGGGCTTCTAGAAAGGAGGAATAATACAGAAATTTAGTGAGTGTAAGGGTGTGAGGATAAGATGTAAAAAGATGAATGCAGAAGGTAAAGCACACTCATACAGTGTCAGTACAAGTATATATTTAGATCTATAGAAGCTATATACTTTATTTTTTATATCTCACTGCCTTCTGTGTATGTAATATGTATTTTCCCTCTATGAAAACAGAGAGAAAATGTACAGGATGAGGGGACTCTTCCTCCATCTTCCCACACTAATAAAAACATAAGCAAGGTATGTATTATATTTTTAAACAAAAAATAGTAAAATGACAAAAAAACAACAACGCTAGTTTCGACCCCTGCTTCACAAACACGAACTAATACGAGGAGTCATGTGTTTCGGATCACAAGAGTCGGAACTCGCGACCTCGCAATTATATCACAGTTCTGTCTGACAAGAGCAAGGCCAGATATTATTTATATAAATGCAAGTATAATTTTCTCTGCAAACTTTGTGACCTTGGTCAGAGGCTTTTACATGACCTA